CCTTGCCCCCGTGCAAAGGGTACCCCTGCAGCGCCTGGCACCGAGCGTCCTGCCAGCCCTCGGGGGAGCCGCGGGGGATGCGGGGGAAGGCGGCGGTGCAGTCGGAGGCCAGGTACTGGTACGGCTGGGCGGGCCTGGCCGGGTACGGGTACGGCTGCCAGGTCCTGCCGAAGTCGGTGGAGCGCTCAATTAGCATCGCAGCGGGCAGTGGTGACTGCAGAGCGGGGAAAGAGGCACATCTGTAACGTGGGGCACCCCAGGGGGCTCCCACCTCTTCTCCTTCTCCTCCTCCTGCTCCAGGCTCAGGTCTACACAGTCTGCTGGAGCACCCCCTCCCCTACAGGTTACAGTGCCTCCTTCCTGTCCCTGGCCACCTCCCTGCAGCCACAAAGTGCACATCTGCACCAAGGAGATTTTTGGGCAGACATCTGTGGGGTGGGAACCCACACCTTGCTCTGCTTCTCCCATGAAAACCAGGAAAAAAGGAGGGATGGAGGCACAGTCTCTGGTGCGTTTCCTATCCAGAGCCCAGAGAGCCAGCAAGGCCCATCCACCATCACCAGTGACCTCCTCAAGAACAGGGATGCTGTGCACAAACCCTGAAGTGAAGCAGGATGCTGCTGAGCTGGAAGGCCTGGTCCAGGTCCAGCTGCAGAGAGACGTGTTCAACACCTGCGGACACAGAGCAGAAGCTTCAGGAGAACAAACCATTATTTATTAGTAATTTATTTCCTTCTTTCCCCTCAATCTATGAATTAAACATCTTTTCCTCTTCCTCCCAATGCCATTTATTGCCAGGGGACCCGGAGCTGTGGTGTCCCGTGGACCCCAATGCTCGCGGTGGCACTCACCGTTCTGGGACTGCCACCAGCGCGCGTGCCCGGCGGGGGACAGGACGCTCTCCACGCGGTGGCCGTTGTAGGCGTGCGGCCGCCCGGAGGGGCAGCACCGCATGCTCCACTGGAAGAGAAGGGAGGTTGGAGGTGAGCGGAGGGAACGACCCCCAGCAGAGCCCGGAGGAGAGGGGACCCAGGGCAGCGGGGGCTCACGGAGGAACCGGTGACCACGGCAAGATGTTGATCAGCACCAGCAAGATCTGAAGAACCATGATCAATAAGGCTAACGATACACGGGACTCAAGTGTAAGCTCCATTAAAAACCACAACTCATGGGTTTATGGACTAAAACCAAACCCGAAAATGCTTTCAACTAAAGCACATTTCTGGCAAACCATCAAAAATGCCTTTTTTAAAGCAAACCCCCTGTTTTCCACAATGACAGCTCTTCATAGAAAGCTCTTTTCAGGACCAGCTTGCCTTTTCCACACAGCCGAGGGGCTGTTTGCTGGGGTGAACACAAGGCCTCTCTTTCTGCATCCCAAGGCCCCAGGCGATGCTCGGCCTCCCCTGCGCTCCCCGTGGGAGCAAAGCGGGAGCAAACAGCTCAGCGGGTGAGAAGTCAGCGGGGGGGAAGTCGAGAGGCACAAAGTTCAGCCCCTTCACTTGAGCAAGTAATTCAAGAAGCAAACAGGGATGTGGCACAGATAACTCAGGGTGAAAACAGGGTCCCTAAGGAGCGAACAAACACCCAAATTTTTACTAACCAAGCAATGCTGCATGCAGCCACTGGGACAGGGCCATTGGGTGCGTGTGGCACCCAAGGAAGCTCAGAAATGTAGAGAAAGCGGTAGGAAGGAGATAGAGCAGGAGACGGGGAGTGGGGAGGGTCTGGGCACTGGCCAAGGCAAGAGGGAGGATGGGGTGGGCAAACAGGGTGGGCAGTGGCCACCATGAAATAGGGGGGGACCCTCCAGGTGAGGCCAAAGTGGGGATGGGCAGGTCCTGGGGGTGTTAAAATAGAAGGTGATGACAAAGCATCCTGCAGGGGACACGGGGAGGCCACAGTGGTGGCCACGCTCAGAGCGGAGCAAACACAAGGGGCTGAAGAGGCCACCGGGATGGGAAAGCTGGGAGTCAAGGCACAAAACAAAGCACTCGGCATCTCCAGCCTCAGAATGGAGAGGAAGAGCAGATCCCGCACCCCAGAAAGGCTCCTAGGGCACAGCCATATGAGCTATGGGATAACACTGCCCCAAAAGCAAAAGTGATGTGAAACTTCTAAACTAGAAATCAAAGTTGTCAGTGGCCTGAGCAGCAAAGCAGCCTCTCAAATGGACACATGTTTAATGCTGACATGTCCCAAAGCCCAAGAAATTGGGGACAACTGAGAAAAGCGTTTGCCAGCCATGGCAGGTGCTGGCCTTGGCAGTGTGGGATGGCTCAGAAAGGTCGTCCTGGGCGGGAGGAGGGGAGTGTGGCTTGGCACAAGGTCCAGCAGCTGACACGGGGAGGCAATGATACCCCACAGCGAGGGCTGCCAGTCCCCGGGGGGGCACAGGGTGACACCAGGGGCACGGGCATGTTTGGGACCCCAGTGATGAGATCAGATTTCAGCAGACATGGGGTGACAAGAAGCGCTTCACACCCACCCTGTGCTCAGATCTCCTCATCTGATATTTAAACTGTATGGGACTTCTGGTTTCCCCTTTCAAAGACTGCTTCACGGTTTACACTCATTTCCTTGCTCTTGAAACAGCCTCACAGAAGTCAACCATGTCTCGTACTTCTACAAAAAGTGACTCAGCTTCATAAGAACTACCTTTTCTTCTAATTTAAAGAAAAATTAGTGGAAAGCTTTGTCCAGAGTTCCCATTTTGCTTGCTCTCACCCAAACCCACATGAGGCATGGGCTGGCTTTGCCCAGAAAGCACCAACTGGGACTGGAGCCTGGCTCTGCCCCCAGCAGCAGCAGGGATGGGAGTTCAGCCCCGGGGGGGTTTATCCCACCAGACCCAGGGCCTTCTCAGCACTTGGGCAGATACTGAGAACAGCTCCTCACTTAAACAGATCTGTTTCCATAATATTTTCCACAGTCTTTATGTTCTCTGTCTATAAATATCCCAGAACAGGAGTTGACTAACTCAATATTTATAACAATATTGCAGAGTAAGCAAACAGAGAATTCAAAATATACAATCATGCAATTTCCCTGGCTGTACCAACTCCTCCTGGCTCTGCCACTAATAATCAGAAATAATATAATCGGGTCCAGGCAGAAGAACTCATTTCAGATAATGACTAGGAGCAGCAAATTGTCAGGAAGCTACAGGAATTATCCACAGAAGAAATCTAGAGAACAATTCCCAATAATGATTAAACTTCACAACAATTCTGACGGTGATTAGCAAAGGGAGAAGAAAGGCTTTATGCGAGGGGAAAGGTTAATCGCGGCTAAATTATTCATTAGGAGTGATTCACACACACTTATTAGACTATTTACACAGCCAGAGGCACCAGTGACTTCTAGTAGCTACAATGAGATGTTGGCAATGAAGCTGCAACCACACTGAAAACACTGCTAAGGGAAGATGAGGCTCAAAGCGTGCTTGACAGACCCTGCCCAGGCATCCCGGGGGCTCTGAGCACTGCAAAAGCCTGCTGGGGTTTGGTTGGTTTTCCTTTCTTTCCCTCAACTTTTTAATAAAGGCTAAAATTAACACTGGAAGCAAAATTCATGTCACGTCCTCGGAGGGAATTGTGAAAGCCCGTATTGCACAAGAGGAGGGTTTGCTGTGACTATGTGTCTCAAAGGTCCTCGGGACAGAGGGAATTACCAAAAATGATGCCGGGGCCGGGCTGAGGGACATTTGCACCTTTCCCCAGCTCTCCCCTTCCTTTGTCACCAGCACAGCCCCAGGCTCAGAGCTGGGCTTGCCACAACAGAGCGGGGCTGTGGGAGAAGGTGACAGATGGAGGTGATAGAGGTGAGGGTCTGGGGACAGCGCCAGCCCCGCGTCCCCTCCCTGCCAGGCACCAGAGCCCCGGTCCGTGTGCGGCTGCAGCATTGGCTTGAGTGGGTACGGGACGTGGGGCTGAAAAGGGCTACAGGAAGGTAAAAGAAGTTGTAGGTCTGCATTGAAACCATGAATCGCCCTCTGCGCCTCCAAGCTTCTCCTAAAAGTCACCCAAAATACAGGTTACGGAGGTTCAGAGATGAAAGGAAATTCCTGCCAGCCTTCTGAAAGGTGGCGCCCCTGGCAGTCATTGCGGAGGGAAAGCTGGCGTGTTGAGAACAAACAGATTCACGGCCTAGAAACAAATCGGGAGGGGGGAGAAATTCCTAGTAGAACAAAACCAGCTCCTGTGAAAATTGCCCCCGTACGACATCACGCACCTGGGACAGGTCTGCACGGTGCGAGCAGGGACACGGGTGCAGCCCCAGCCCCTGCAGTCTTCACAGCTCTGCCCTGGGTTTGGGCTGTTCCCCTCCTGCTCTGCCCCTGCCAACCAGTTCCTGCTCAGCTCTCACTGCTTCCCCACTCATGCAGGGGCAGAAAACCTCAAACGATGTTAAGCAGATGGCTTCTGACCAAAGTATTTTAAGTAGCTCTGCTTGCCATTTTAATATGAGAGCCCTTGAAATAAAACCTCCTGGCATAGGTGCACAACCCGAAATAAACCGGAGTTATTGATCAGCAAAAATAGAAGCTGCTTCTGTCACGGTCACGAAACTCAGACCTTTCATAGCTGCAGAGCCCTTGGTGGTCCCGCGTTCAGCCCAGCTCAGTGTCAGCGAGAGGCACTGTGTCAGTCGGGCTCCTGGCACGCAGCCTCCCGAATGGCAGCCCTGCATGGTCTTGCACAATTCATATCATATAGGGACAGTAATTTCTGTTCCAAGTGTATCTGGGGCAATCTGGAAAGCAGCAGGA